CCCTAGACCAAGGGGTCAGAGAGAGTGACTGCCGAAAGCAGAGGGAGAATCCACAGACCCATGCTAGGCTAGTCTTGTTAGATGAGCTGGTTAGTTAAAGAAATTGAGAGGAAGCGTTAACAAAAATCAGCAGAAACTAGACAGCATCATTGTGGGTCTTTATCTAATAATAAAATGATTAGGATTAGCTGTGTCTTTATTTTCACTTTCTACTTCATTTTTCTAATAATTCCTCTGCCTTCTATTTACTAAAGTTCCAACACATGACAGATTGGAAATGCCCTTTCCCACAGGTAACAAAAGATGCTCTGCCTGGAAGAGGCTTCCTGGAGAGGAGCTGCCCATTGCTTGTGCAACAGAGGCCGCGCGGGCCCCCAGTGGGGAGACAGCCCAGTCCAGGACACTGACACCCCAACCTCACTCTCCTACCTCCTCCAGTCTCCTGGTGAAGTTTTCCACTGGCTAAATCCTTTGCTGTCCATATGGGTCAGTCCCTGGGATAAAAAGCAGGAAACAGATGGGGGGACAGTGGGTCCCCTTTCTGTACAATTGAAAAACTCGCGTCCCCAACGTAGCAAGGGCACAAAGTCCCATCATCGCAAGTCATTTTGGTCATACTCCCTGTGCCACGAATCACAGCATTGCCTCTGAGCTCCAGATTTGCCCTTCGGCACATGCTCTGCCCTGACGAGCAGAACGCTTTTAAGCATCTCTCTTGCACCGAGAGCTGCTTGCTGAGCTTTCTCAGCAGAGGGCCCGGAGGGACCCTGCGGAAGGAAGGGGCCCTCCACCTGCTGTTGGCCCTGGGTCAGCAGTGTTGGGGGAGGGACTACGGTCACACGTGGCCCCAACCATACACACACAGCATGTGGCCCCTTGGCAAGCTCTTAGCTTCTCAGCTGCAGCCTGGCCTGGTGGTAAAAATAGAACCCATTTCACAGGGTTGTCGTGAGTCCCGATTTTAAAGTGCATATGGACTCAGCACATTGCCGTGCAGTTCTTACATGGTGAACCCAAGACGACTTGGGTTTTCTTGCTCACACACTTGGGGCATGGAGCTGGGGGAAACTTGGGCTGGCACAATGACTGTCTGGCACAGACTCTGAGGGGACGTAAAGTCCTACAATCACCTTAAGACATAGTCACAGGTCAATTATTGCAAGTATCCAGTCCAATATATTGATCAGTACTTCAGTCTTTATACAAACATGAGACTTCTCTCTTACTGCCCCTGCTTGTTAGCTGTGGCTTCAGGCCCCACCAGGGTTAAGGACTTGGATGTAGGAAGTAGAAGGAGGCAGAGAAAAGCTCTCACTTGACTGGTAGAGTCAAAATATGGCTTCAAAACCTTTCTCTTCATCAGGGAATATAAATGTTTAATCATTCGATGTTGTACACCGAAAACTAATATAGTATTGTATGTAATCACTCTATGTTGCACAGCTGAAACTAGTATAATATTGTATGTCAACTGTAATGGGAAATAAATTAATTTTTTAAAACCTAATCCTTTTTCTTATCAACACTGTTAGGATTCTCCAGAGGGGTTCCTCTCCAATGGTGTATTCCAGTTCTCCCGCCCGGCTCCATCCTTAGTTCCAGAAGTCCACTCAGTACTGACCTTCTCTGTCCTCAAAATGGCACCCCTCTTACATAAGATTTGAAAATGTTCCAGACCAGATCTCTCACACCCCAAGTGGCTCCCACTAGGCCAAAAGAATATTGATGTACCCTTTGTCCCAACAAACTCTAGGACTGAAGGTCAAGCCAAACACAGCAACAGGTTTCTTCACTTGACCTCCAAAGCCACTTGCCAGTGCCTTCTCAGCCTGTTCTCTGGGAGGCGGCCAGACCCCAGCCCACCACATCCGCCCCGACAGTGAGGTCCTGCTGCACACTCTTGGACCCGCAGGTGGAGCTCACCACAAAATGGAAATGAGACGGGTTTTAAAAACTCCCTCAGCTTTTTGAGGGAGGGAAGCAGTTCTGATTTGAATTCTTCCTGAGAGACTATCAGCTATAATTTATCATGTTATGTCTTTATTTTTCTTCCCCACGACCCTTAATTGGACCATCCCTTAGGTGACCTCATGCATGGTGATAAATTAGCCTCATGTTGCCTTGCTGGGGTTTTCCCACAGACTGGGCCTTGCCATTGTGAGGGTAACTCACAGTCACTGAAGTAGAAACGCAACTGTTACATGCAGGTCACAAACCCCACCCATTACAACCTGTCTTTTCAATCTCGCTGTGTCTGGCCAATCTAAATGATGTTGAGATATGATGTCACCAGTGGTCACCATTTTATTATATACAAAAATCAGATAATAACATTTCTGATCCAACTATGCTTATGCCAAATAGCTATAATGACCCATTTTGGGAGGGGGGAATAAATAATTTTTTAATTTATTTTTGCCAATTTCTGCTGACAGTTTCATAGTCCTGGACATGAGCCTGGTAATCAGAAGAGTTTTAAACAGAAAGATAAAAGTCCATAGAAAAGGAGGTTTGGGTTTGAATGTTTTTTTTGTTTTGTTCTGTTTTTCAGTTTTCTTAAAATTTGGGTTTGGATTTTTTTGTTGTTCTGTTTTTTGGTTTTCTTAAAATTCAGACAGAGAAAGTACAAGGATAAGTATAACCTGTATGCACTATTCTGTTGGTAAGACTGATCACGTACATCAATATAAAATGGTCAAGGTGATACACAATTAGTTTGAAAACGAGTTATGAGAATCCCTGGAAGCAGCAGCTCCCCAAACCGGCTGAGTCCGAGCTGTCAGTGAGCGGGACCTGTCATACATGAGATGGCCACCAGGCTACACAAGGTCCATTCTTTGCTTCTTGGTACCAGAACCCTGATATTACTGGAGCACTGTAGCCAAATAAAAGCATTTCCTGGCTTCTCGTGCAAGTTAGTATGGCCATGTAGCTAATTCTGGCTGGTGAATATAACTAGAATACTGTCTATTACTTCTGAGAAAGCTTCTGTAGGAGTGATGAAGAGGTGGTTGTGAATTTTGGGGTTCTCTATCCCATCCCCCTTCCTGCCATATATAATTTGGACTGTAAGGCCAGATGCCTTCAGCAAACATCTTAGAACACGAAATAATCTTAAAGTCAGAAGCCCTAGATGACAGTTCACAGGAGCCTGGGTCCCACTGACCATTAAACTGCCAGGCCAGCCCTGCACAGCTTCTACCACTCCCCTTCCATGGGAAGGAAAGTAAACCTGACACGCTTAAGCGCCTGTTATTACGCACCGTCACATCCTAAACACAGCGATGCTGGCATTTTCTGGGCCTGCCCAGACTCCAACAGGTTATTTTAATTTTCACACAACTCTAACAACCTCAACAACGCCCCCTGGTTGCCAGTGACTGTGCGTGTCATTGGGAAATGTTAACACTGGGGGAAATGCCTATTGTAGAATGAACAGAACAGGTATTTAGAGTTTGGGGTTTATCGCGCCACTTCAGCTTCCCTGAAGTTTTACTAGTAAGATCACTGATTATGAGACACAGAGAAGTTGGGAATTCCCGGTAGAGAAAGTTAAAGGGCCAGGAGAGGAAGCTTTGTGCATACTTGGCACAGAGAGGAAGCCAAGGGCAGTGCAATCTAATACAGGTGTTGCCACCCACAGCAGGGGGAAGACAAAGTGTCAGGTGAGTGTCTGTGAGACGGTAGCTATAGCAACATCAGTGTGAGGGAACCTATTTATTATAGAGTTAAGAACCTCTTGTAGTGTAATGGACCTTAACTGAACAAAGCACCTAGAAATCATGGAAGCCTACTAATAAAAAAATCAAAAGCCCCAAAGGAAGACACCTATGTTAATTACCTGGTAAACTCATAGTGCTGTTTTGGTTGTCTCAATTAATTACTTTTTTAAAAAATTAAGCTCCTAGTTAAAGAAATCTCCTTAGATATCGTAGATTGGAAACACCCAATTCAGTAAGGCTTTACTAAGCATCTACAGGTCAGGATAAAGACTGTTCGGGAACCGTCGTGCCAGTGAACTCTCCTGCTGGCCACACTGAGCAACTGCTGTAGAAACGAACACAGCAGCGTTAGACTCACAAACTGAGCGAACACAAACTGTCCTGACTTAACTAGCAATGAACTAGTGTTGCAGCCACACATCCACACTTGAATAAATTATACTGGTAAAGGAAAGAAAAGAGTATTCTTATAAAAGGAACCAGAATAAATATTCGAGTTACAATAAGGATGTGGTTCTGGAAGCTTCTGATGAGTTATTATCAATATTAGATATTTCTATCAAATAAAACGAAATACTAGATAGCCTATAGACATCACTTAAGGTAGACTGAATCTTTTGTACTTCTGCATTCTCCCCCTGTATTAGAATGACACACCATGCCTTGGCCACATGGCTTTGCACACCTCCCATTGCAGCATCCCAGTGTGGAAGCACCCCAGTCTGAAGACGAGCCACCCAGCAAAAGCCTGGGTTCGATCAGCTGAAGTCCAATCAACAGACGTATGAATGTGAGAATAACCTGGTGTGAGCCTCTGATTCTTCAGGTAGGAATAAGGGTCTTCTAAGTTCTGAACGCTTATATTCCCCCTAATTCATATGTTGAAATCCTAACCCCAAAGATGATGGAACTAGGTAGAGGCTTTGGGAAGTACAAAGGTCATGAGTATGGAGCCCTCGTGAATAGGATCAGTGCCCTTACAAAAGAGGCTCCAGAGACCTCCCTTCCCCTCCCACCATGTGAGGACAAAGCAAAAAGGCGCCGTCTATGAACCAGAAAACAGGCTCTCACGGGACACCAACTCTGCTGGAGCCTTGGTCTTGAACACCCACCCTCCAGAGCTGTGTGAAGTGAATGTCTACTGTTTATAAGCTCCTCAGCTTAAACTATTTTGTTATAGCAGCCTGAACAGACTCAGACAGAATCCAATACACCACTCAAAAAGTGCAAGCTATTATTAGGCATTTTTAAAAGTTTAATAATGATGAAATAAAAGTATATAACCCAATATATAATGCCTTAGAATCATTTTGGGGTTTTGTCATAGCATATTTAAAGTCTAAAAGATAGAGAATGTTCAATTGGTACAATAAAGGCTTCAGTATAAGACATGTTGACTGGTAGAGTTATACTTTGCCAAATAGTTATCTAGGATAATATAAGTGTAATCATGGCTTGCCACGTCCATTTCCATTTCCAATCACGCAACCATAGTCTCCAATATGCAGCAATTTTCTCTTTCGTTTCTGAGCCTTGGTGCCGTATTGCCTGTGTTCAACTCACAGCTGAAGAGGGCGGCCGGAAGGCGGCCGGGGCGGGAGAAAGCGACCCGGAGCCCAAACACTGCATGTGCGCGGCGATCTGTGCCAATGAGAGTTTGTCCGAATGTCGTGTTGTGAGCAGTTTCCTAACCCAGGTATACCGTCTGTGCTTCAAAAAGGCGGAGGTTATTTCTTAAAATTGTATAAACAGATGACATGATACAAATAGATCATGTGCTTACTGGTTTGAATGAACAATTATTAGTCTTTATAGTTTTTATTTGCTGAATATCCTTGAAAGAAACACATCACCAATTTCTTATTTATCTCTCTCTCCCATAATAGCAAGTATATGGAAGTCACTCAAGACACATACTTAAAATCAATAATGAATGACACAATCTGTGGTTTCAAAGGTATTTACTATTTGGTCAAACAATAATTTTTTAATTGTCAGTCATAAAATGAAATGCACATTCATATACATGTTAAATATTCATCAGATCTGCATTATGGCTACATGACACCATTTTATACTCTGTGGAAAATGTAATTCCTGAGATCATTATTGGCTTTTACAAATCCTTTTATTCACTGTCAAATCATCTTTCCTTAAGTGATTTGGGAGTGTGAATTGAGGTTCGGATGCTCAATCTCAGACCAACTTTCTATATCAGTTAAATGAGAAAATAGGCTCTATCTTTTATAAAAGGTAGAAAAATAACCATGGGGTGCAGATTTTTTCCCTAAAGTGTACTGCACAGAGAAAGTGCAGACCGAACACCAAAGAAGTCTTTTCTTAATGACTCTCAATTCCCTAAGGAATGGATGTTTTCCAGGCAACGGGTCCTTGATATGTGGCAGTCCAGCTGTTGTTCTGCATTTATTTAAAATATCCCTTGCCTAATAACTGTGTTCATCTTTAAAAGAAGATTATGTAAAATTACATTCAATTTCTTTCTACAAACCAACAGAGTGTTCAGCTTTGCCAAGCAAACGCGGTGTACACGGAACCTGAGTTCTCAGTCACCGGCCATGCATCCCGACCTGCCCTTTGCCTGATGTGCCCACAGCCTGCATCCTGAAAAGCAAGTCCCGCCTTTTGTGAAATCTGTAGAGTTTACACTTAGAGATAGAGTATCAAATAAAGAATAACCATACGAGGCCTAGTAAAGCTTGAATGATTTCATACTTTGTATTGAATGGTTTTCAAAACAATCCTATAAACACCTAAATAAAATATAAAAGGACAAAAGCTGTCAGCACTTTCTTTCTTGGGTTCAGTAAGGCCTTGGAATCATTTGTATCTGTGTTGGATACATTTGGATTCTCTTCTGCATCTTGATGTCCTTGCTCATGAAAGGACTGGAACAAATTAATTAAAAGAAAACCACTCTGAAACCACTTGAACTTCTGATCCTACCATAGAGGTTTGAAAGCTTATGAAACCTAGCTTGTATTTTTTTCTGGGTTTTGAGGTCTAAGTGATTACAGACTGCATGCTTCTTGCTTTGTGGTGATTTTCTAATATGTACAATATATGAAAAAGTGGATATTTACCGAAGATCTTGTATACAAGTCTTTTCAGACTGGAACTGATAACCTTTTGAAACATTTTTAATAACAAATATTGGACAGTTTCACAGATCTGAAAGTAATAACAAGTCTCCTCAACTTACAGTCAAAAAAATTATCTTTTACCTAAACAGGATCAGCTTAAAATCCTTTTGGAGATGTTTTTATTTATTAAATGCCTTCACTAACAACCCCTTCCATTTCCTGTTAATCCAATTCAATTTCTCCTGCATACAAAGTGATGAGCAGAATGGCTGTAAATCCAGTTAACATGCCGACATTCTGAATCATGAAGAAGGTGAAATCGATTTTTCTTCCAGTTACCTTTTCTCTCAGCATATCGTTCATCTCTGGAAACTAGAAGGAAGACACATTGTCAGATAACTGTTGCCACCTTGTGGTAAAGCATAAAATAGTCATCTGCAGATTTCTGTGGGGGTGGAGGATGGTCCTTTATGTCAGATGTTTAAATGTTTTAGCACAGAAAGCACAATAGTAATAAGCCTTGTTAAACATCAACAAGAATGAAAGTATTGAAATAATGTTCCCCAAGTGAGCTAATCAACCAGTGGAATGGAATTTGCTTCATTTTATTCTCTCGTTTCCTCTCTCCTCTCTCTCTGTCCCCCTCCCACACCATTCTTTCAGGGTCTCAAATGCATCCCAGCCTCTTTCCTTCCTCAAATCTTCAAACTCACCAAAATTTCCATCTGAACTCTTCTGCCTCCAATGTTTCAATGAGCTAAATCCTTCAGGTCTCAACTTAAATCATATTTTCTTAGAGAGGCTTCTCTGAGTCCCTTCTAACTTACATTAGATTCCCTTACTTTCATCTCTCATCATATACATTGCTTTACTTTTATTTCACATATTTTTATTTGTAATTACTAATCATGTGTGTGACTTTGCTTGTGTGTTGAATGTTAAGTTCCCCTTTTTGTAAACAGGAGGCCTCCCCAGAACGAGGAGCCTGTACCTCTTCTGTCACTGTGTTTCCCCCAGTTTCCTGACCATGTCCAGGCCTGGTACAGAAATGTCTATTCACGGTATGTGAATAAATAATTTTTTAGCAATCACTATACATGTAATTTCTGTTCTTTTCAATGCGCGTCCTTTTGCTTGCTCTACCCCTCACCAAATTACAAGGTTTTTAAATAAATTATGCACTGCTCTAGGATTGAACACTATAACAATCTCATTATAGTGAAAGCAATTAAAACCCCAAGTTCTGTATGGAAGATCTACCCTTTCTCAGCAGGTAATTTCTACTGAATGGGCTCCATGCGGAGATCTGTAAATGACATTTCAAAAAGCATAATCCAAAACACCAGCTACGGCTGCAATGGTGCATTGTACAACGCCAACCTCCAAATGCCTCCACAGTCAGCCATGTGCCCGATGTAAGAAAATTGTTACAAGGATAAAATGGGTGAAACCACCCCGAGAAGAGTGGAACTGCTGCAAGTATACACAGCGTCATTTATCAGTATTATTTCTGCAAACTAAACACTCTAATAGATTCTGTTCTCATGTCAGAGAAAGAAGGGGTGACCGAGCACAGAGTAGGAGGCATTAATTCTGTGAAGAAAAATACAAATGCAGTGGTGGTTCTAAGCGTCAGCACCACACAATGAACACAGAGAGTCATCATCTGTCGCTAAGAATGCAGATGGAGGAAATTAAAGTATTAAAATATGTCTCTAATACATATTCAGTGCCAAATGCGAAGGAAATATTCTTTGATTTGTATACACTTAGCACTTCCTCATGTTCTAAAAAGCTGTGAATGACTCATTTGAAAATGCACAGAATCAATTGTATTCTGCCTCTCACACACACACGCGTATAAATACATAGACATAAATCGAGATGCAAATATAAACTGACCCAAGTACATATTATCCAATTTTAATCTGCCAGTTTTAGTTTAACCCCAAAATGTTATCACTGTTTAGAACTTTGGAACAACAAAATTCTACTTGCAAAACAAGTTATTCCTCTCCCAACGCAATGTCCTCTCAAAAAAAAGCAGGAAAAACTCCCGAGGGATTTACTGTAATAGAATACAAGTTTCATCCACCACAGGACAAAAAAATCTTGGGACAATATCTCTACTTCAGCAAAAATAATTTACTTCCTCTTCTATCAATAAGATCATAGATTACAGAATCAACAAGAATCCCTCTCAAACTGCTATTAGTACAGAGTACTCGAAAAGAGTTATCTGTTAAACCAGAAATGTTTTAAATGACAACAAAAACAACCTCCATTTGCCCTTAGTCAAATTGTAACCAAGATGTTTATTTAAAAGTTTTAAACTAAAACAAGATAAAATTTTTAAATTTCTTACCATATCTGCCAGAGAAATATAGAGAAACATGCCTCCAGCAAGTGCAAATATAATATTTGGAGCAAAATTGTTGCCCACCAAAATGCCGAAAGCTAGCCCAACGTAGCAGGAACACGCGGACAGGAAGTTGAATAACAAGGCTTGTCGAGTGCTCATTCCTGCATTGAGTAGGATCACGAAGTCCCCTAGAAGAAGGAGAAAATATCAGATAAAGAGGCTTTTCCATTTTTGGCTAGGGTGAAAGAAAATCAATGTCTGACAAGGGTTTCTTTGCTCCAATGCCATCAGCAGAACCCCACCGGAAGCAAGAAAGTTGACTTTGCAACGTGAGCAGAGCCCCTTACCCAGCTCGTGCGGAAACTCCTCGCACAGGATTGCTATGGAAGTGCTGAGTCCCTGGAGAAGAGACAAGGTGCAGGAAGCCCCAATCGCCAGGCCGTCGATGAAATTGTGGAGGGCGTCACTGAGCGTTATCATCCAGGCAATTGTCCCTATTTCTGACAGCTTGGGCCCCTTCAGACAAGTACATGAGCTTGACTCCGTTTTTTCATGCTGCAAAATGGCAGAAAATGAATCAGCAGAATAACCAACATTTCTTGAAAGTCTAAGATACACAGAGAAGCGAATATGTAATGTATATGCCTTGAGGAAGACAGACAACTGGTTGTAACAGAAAGTCACAATGGATGGGAACCCCTAGCCCTGTGTAATGGAGAAAAGAAAATTTATGGTAGGAAAAAAGGAAATGAATAGACGGACAGGCCTTGAACAAGCTACTCAAAAGACATTTTATTTCACTTTCCCCTTAAAACAATCCTTTGATTTGTATGAACAAATTCCTACTACTGCCTTACTGAAATGTAGCAGATATTACCCTATGAATTTGATTTATTCACATACATTAAAATAAAAAACCTTTTTCAAAGACTAGGTTTAAAGTCTTTTCCACATTACAATTTAAATGTGAAACGTGCATTCAAAGCACAGGGACATCAAAGAGCATTTCTCTAGTCCTTCCTGTGCCACCATGTGACTGTGAGCAAGGGAGTGGCCCTCAGTTGCTTCTGCAATAAAATGAGGAGAATGTATTAAATGATTCATTTATTTTTCCATGACTTACTAAGTTTCCACAGTCTTCCAGGTGCCACGCTGGGTGTGTCGACTATAACAACATACTCCCTACCCCCTATAATTTCAATATTTCATGAAGCATGATCGAAACAGACTTGCCTTTACCATAACACGTCTTTCTGTTTTGAAACAATAATAAAAATATAAAATCTTACAGGGACCCTTTGTAAGAATGTAAATTTTCATGAAGTTTACACAATCGTATAAAAAATCAAATGTCAAATATTAACTAAAGTGTTTTCCAGAAACTGAAAAAAAAAGATAATAAAATGCAAATACGTTTTTAAGTAGGGAAGCAATTTGCTATTAAGGAGAAAATATTTTATTCCTAAGTCCCCTCCCCTCAATGCTGCCTCAGCAGCTAATCAACGTGTTTATTGAGCATCGGCAATTTGCGTAACAGTGTGCTCAACGCTGCAGGAAATGCACGGAAGCAGAAAACACGGCCTCTATCTTCAAGAAGTATATTTACCTTGGAGAAGCAAGATGTAAAGTACATGACTGACTTTTTTTAAGTGCACATGAGATATCCGGCTGAGAGGGACTTCCTTCCGAGCAATCATCTGAGAGATTTTACATTTACTCCAACATCACTTCATTAGTGAAAACACTTTGGGGGCTGTTCTGTCAGAATTGACTTTAGAGCTTGCAATACATCCTTTCACTGTTTCATTAGTGGAACATCTTCATCTTGGGTGATTTTTGTTTGTAGGCATAGCCAAAGTCATTTGGAGCCAATAAATTCTGAAACTTTTATGGAAGGAGGGAGAACTGTTCGTGCTAGTGATAGTAGAGGTAGTGGTAGTCGTCATAATAGCAGGAGAAATAGTCACAGCAAAGCCATATGGCTTTATTCCGTGCCTGGCACTGTTCTGAGCACTTAGATATTTAATGCCTTTAGAAAGACTCCATGGGTGAAGCATAACCGTTATCACCATTGTATAGTTGGGGAACTAAAGCACAGAAGTGGTAGTCAACTTCTCCAGGGATACAAAGGGAGGAGTGGGGTGGGTGTTGCTGTCGTTGTTGTAACTATTTCACTCCTCCAAAGGTATAGCAGACAGTGGACAGGCGCTTCTCATTTGTAACAAGGTCTGGACGCAGTTCACAAGGAGAACACCCCCTTCTCTCCAAAAATTGTTCTTAAACACTTGAAGCAATGTGGGACTGTGTTTTAATCTTGTTTTATTCTAAAAGACAAATCTCACCAGCATAAAAAAATTCCATCTGGTCTTAAAATGTGGTCTTTTTACTTTATAATGTTAAAGGGTGAATTAAACTTAATTTCTTAAGGCAAATTAAAAATGTTTTAAGTTTACTTGAGCAAAAATTAATTCAAATATGGTGGTGTCAAACAGGAAGTGGTTACAGCACTTCTCCAACAGGGGTTCAGGGAAAGAATTTTATAGTGAAGAGGCAAAGCAAAGTGATCATTGACGGGGTATCACCTACAGCCTAGCTGGCTGTTTGTGACTGTTGGCCCCTGGGTTTTAATTTTGTACCCTTCAGGCATTTACAGGCTTAGATTTGGTTTTGCTTCCACAGACCACCATAGCATTAGAGACACCTCAGTCTACTGACTTTCTTGTTTAATTAATTTAACCATTAATATATCTTGAATACACCAAAATATGAAAGATTATGGTTGAGCACATAGCTTGGAATAAATGCTCCAGAGCAGGAAGCAATTACTGCCAAAGGAGAAACAGAGACAGTCATGAGAAAAACCATAGACAAAGAGATCTTGGCTTTGCAAAATCTTACTGCCAAGATACACTTAATAAGACCAGTCATTTTCATCTTCCAAACTTAGTTTACCTGATCACATATTTTGCAATTTTTTATTTTATTATTTATTTTATTTTTCAATTACAATTTATAATTTCTTTATTTACTTGTGATGGTTTAGCCTTGATAACCTTAATGATATTTTATAGTATATACAAATTCTGTATCCAAATTCCTTTAATTCTGAAAAAGAAATCAACATATCAGGCATGATCACCTTACCTCTAAGACCAGATACTATTGACTGGATTTACTATGCTTCCTTTTAGCTCTATAAGCCTAGGTCTCAAATATATAGAACTGTTGGGTTGGGTTGGCTAACAGTTATACATTTTTAATAGCTTTGAAAGAAACAAAATATGCAAATGTTCACAGAAAGTTATTTTTTAAATTTGCTTGAAAGTAAGTTACTGAGCAGAGAGAACACTAAATTCAATTCCTTCTAGTTAAGTTAGTATTTTTCTCTTCCCCCTGCGGCTATTTTGTTTGTTTGTTTGCTGTTGTTATTGTTTGCTTGCTTGCTTCTCTGTTTAATATGCACATTAAATGTAAGCCTATGCATAACCTCAGCCATGACGAGGCAATTCAATTTAGCAAAAAGACCAAGGGCCCAATACCCAGAGCTGAATTCTAGCTTGGCTCTGGCAAGGATTATTGTGTAATCATCAACAAAGCTGTGAACATCTCTCATCTTAGTTATTAATGAAAATGAAAATCTAAGAGATCTACAGAATAATCAGGATGGGGAAAGAGAGAATACATCATGGACCATAGTTATAAGAGTAGAGCAGAGACTAAGCAGACTAGTAACATAAGAATGGAAGAAGCAAAAAGTAAAAGAAAATGTACTAAGAAATCAAAATGAGGAAAGCAAGCGGGCTTATTGCAAAACAGTTTACATTTAAGTAAGGAAGGGGAAGATCAAAAAAAAGAAGAGGGCATGGGGGGAAGGGGAGGAAGAGGAGCACATGGAGAAAGAGGAGTGGCGTGAGGTGGGAAGAGGAGAAAGAGAAAGGAAAGGGGGAGAACGATTAAAAGGATAAAGAAAGGAGAATAAGAAGAAGGAAGAGAAGAATGAGAGGAGGCAATGAGGAGGGGGAGGGAGATAAGGAAAGAATAAAAAGATGTGGCTATCCTTCGGTAAAATCTGGATCATATAAATATGGCTTCCGCCTACACTAAAATAGCATGCAGAGTAGTAGAGATGATGAGTATCTACATATTTCCACATGTAAAGATGTCCCAAACATAGCGGTGAGGTAAAAAAATTATAAAACAGCATGTCTGTTGGGCACTTTTGGTAAAAACAATTATTATAACTCCACAATGGTCTAAGTGAAAATATATTTAGGATGATAATATAAAAATACTAAGTACAGTTATCCCTGGGAGATAGAACTAGATAATCCCTATTTGTATGTTGTTTTTTAAATCTGGAATGGGTTTTCTGGATTTTTTTGCATGTACATAATATTTTAACACTCAGAAAACAAAACATTAAAGCCACGGGATGAGAATCAGCAAGAGGGAAAAATGAATTTGTGACGACTCAGCAGTTATCATTGCCAACCAACGAGGTAAAGCTACAGAGGCAGACTGCCTGTAGGTTTGATCTGGATTGAGAAGATGGTATATTGTCCCACTAAAATGAAACTATTTGTTGGGTTAATGGCTGCAAAGATCAGCATGAGGACAGTCAGGCTTCATTCTGCACTGGAGGAGGCAAGATGAACCACGATTCATAAAAATACTTTTATGGTTTGTTTAATGTTTGTTATATGTTCTATCAGTAAGAAGGTAAAATCAAACAACCAGTGCAGGGAAATATTAAATTCCATATTTCGTGCTGAAAGAATTTTACAAATAAAGAGGCTGCAAATAAAGATGGGTGGGTTTTAAGGGAAGGAACACTGAATGCAAGATAGCTTAATGATTAAAGGGTACGTATGTGCTTTGGTATCAAATGAGTATAAGTTTGAGTATTGGCTCTGCTACTTAAGATCTCTGTTTTTCAGAAAGTTGCTTGGGTCCTAGCGAATACACTTAGACAAGAAAAGGAAACAAAAGGTATATACACATTGGGAAGAAAGAAACATAACTGCCCATGTTGGCAGATGAGAATCTATACAGAAAATCCAAAAGAATTGACCAAAAAGAGATCCTGGAACAAATAAGCAATTATAGAAAGGTGGTAGCATACAAAATATACAAAAGTCCATTGCTTTCTTACATACCAGCAAAAAACAAGTGGATTTGAAAATACCATTTGTATTAGCTCCCCCAAAGAAAAAATACTTAAGTATAAATTTTTTTAAATATGTACAAGATCTATATATAGCAAAACACAAAACTATGAAGAAAGACATTAAAGAAAAACTAAGTAATGGAGAGAGATTCTATACATAAGGATCAGAAGACTCAATATCATCAACATGTCTGGTCTTCCCAATATGATCTATAATTCAATACAATCCAAATCAAAATTCTATCAAGTTATTTTATGGATGTTTTGTGATTCCGAAGTGTATACAGAAAGGCAAATAAATCTAGAGTAACCAACACAACATTAAGGAAAAGGAACAAAGTTGGAGAACTGACTCTACGGGGTGTCGACCTATCCACCTACAGTAATC